CTAATTTCTTGCAGACAGCCTGTAATGCAGAACTCTGAACCAAGTGGCCCCTGGATTCAAATATTTGGCTGCTAAATTCACATCAAAGTGGATTTCAAAGCCTGTTCTTCTTTGCAAGTTTGGGAGATAATACCGTTTTCTTCGTTCCATTTTTTCCTTTCCTATGCAGATGGTGCTTTCTGTTCTTCCTTGATCCTTTCCTATTGGATATGAGATTTTAAAATGTCCACTTAAAAAATGGAATCCAGCTTATAAATGAGGGTTGCAGCATCCCAAGGTCACATGATCACCCTGTGCCACCTTCCAAGCCGGCTTCTGACGAGCAAAGTCAATGGGGAAGCTGGATTCAATTAAAAATGAGGTGAAAAAAAGGTCCTAAAATTGGGGATGACTCATTTAATGACTTGCTTAGGGATGGAAATCCCAATCTCAATTGTGATCGTAAATCAAGGATTATCTGTATGTTTTAAGCTGTTAACTAAAGAAAAGTTTCAATAAGCAACATGTGACTTGTGTCCCTTGGATCTGTGAAGCCTTTATGTTCAGGAGCAGCCTACCCTCAAATATCACTATTGGAAGCAGATCCAAGACATACCTCACTCAACCCATGGACCTTTCCAGAACACCTGATAGCAACTAGTTGCTGGATTAAGCAGGTCTTTAAACTGAATTGGAAAAGTTTGTGATATCAATCAATCAAATCAATGAATCAAAGTCACACTTCACAAAGGGGGGTGGCTTTTAAACTGAGATACAATCATCAGAAAGGTGAAAATTAGTTTATGGGAGAGAAACAAAAAAAATAATAACATTAGCCACATTGTATATGGAAAACTTATACAAAATGTTTTATAGGTGGCATCTTCCTCCAGCAAAACTGGCCAAAATGTATCAAAATATATCACCCAACTGCTGGAAACGTACCCAGGAATACAGATCGTATTACCACACATGGTGGAAATGTAGAAAAACCAGGCTTTTTGACATAGAATTCAGAGGTGGCTTGAGATGGTAGGGCATAAAGTGGAATATAAACCGCAATTTTTCCTACTTGGAATCATAACAGGAAAAATATAATAAAGAGGTGATTTACTTAATAATACACATGATCACGGCAGCAAGGTTAGCCTTTGCTCAAAAGTAGAAAGATAAAGAAATTCCCAATGAAAGTGAAGTACTAAAAAAGATATGGAACTTCTTGTTCTGCAGGCATTTCTTGTTGTTTCTCATAATTCCAAATCTCTATTTCTAAAAACTGAAATACGAAGCCAAAAGAACCTCTCCCTTCTTGTGCATCTTCTTTGTACTTTTTAAGTTCCATTTTCAGTTCTTCTAAAAGTGGAGCCATTTTAAACAGTTTTAAACAACCACCCGATTGATTTTAATCATTCAAAACAATAACCAAGAATCCAGAAATCATCAAGTAATCCAGATAGTCCCGAGTTGTATCTTCTTATTTCTTTTTCGACTTTCTCTTCCTGGGGTATTTCAGTTAGAATGTATCTTTTGGAAGTCTTGTTGAGATTTTGCTGTTAGTTCTTTTTTAATTCCAGGTAGTCTCCTCCCTTCCAGATCCTGCCCTTTTATTCTTCCTCTCTCCTTTCCTATTTTCAAAAGCTTTTAATTATCCAGAAATCTTTATTATCCCTTTGACTTTTTATTTTCAGCATTAAATGCCTATTGATGTCAAAGTGGATTTTTTTTCCAATTTCTTGCTTAAGTCTCTTAACTGTCAGTATAGGAAAAGGAGAAAACCAAATCTTTCCCCTTTTCTCTCTCCTTAAAAATCTTCTTAGGGAACAATGTTATTGTTTTTTAACAGTTTCAATTCCAGGGTACCTTATTTGTTGCTTTTGCTGTTTGACCCGGTCAACCAAAACTTTCACTTCTTATCTTCCTCCTGCACATTCTTTTCCGGTTGAGTTCTTCTTTGAGGTGGCCATTTCTGACTACAGCTGCAACCGCCTTCGGGAAAGGGAGTAATGGCCAGCTGGGGAAGAGAGATGCGGCTCTCCTCAACCCTGCTGGCAGTCTCCCCCCTCTTCACCACCTCTCCGAGGTGGCTTAGCCCCAAAACCAGCCAGCTCAGGGCGCTCCAGTGGTGAGCACAGATCAAAGCCTCGCAGAGACGAGGTTTCGGTCTGTTGCTGAAGAAGCTCAAACCGGAAGTCTGATGATTGGAATTATTAAGTGTTGTATAAATATAAAGATGTATAAATGTATATAAAACATGTACTCTATGCCATAATATGTATGACAAACAGAATTGTCAGGACAATCACGCCACGCCCAAGTTTTTAATAATTTACTCAAAACTTTTGTAAAAGAAAAAAAGGTGATCTTCTCAGAAGATACAATCCCATCCCTCAAATAAATGTCCCACTTGTACTGCATAAAACAATATCTTTACTTTTCTATAAATGTTCTTAGGAAGTAAACCAAGATGCCTCAACTGCTGTAACCCCACAGGCTTCGGGGACAGGAAATGAAGCGAGCGACTGACAGCAGAAACCAAACTGGGATCCCTAGCTCAGACTCGAGTCTAATCGGCTTCAAATCGCGCAGCCTTTTCTGCAAGGAAGGCGGAACTCGCAGAAGTTTTGACAGGGACTTCCTGAGGCTGCAGCTGCTCGGATCGCCTGCCCAGGATGATGGGAACCCAGTCTAAGGCAGTTCAGAAAGTTCGGGGTGCGGGGAAGGACCTCTGCGCCTGAACCACCTCCTCCTCTTCCTCTTCCTCTTGAGAAACGAAGGCCACTCTCAACTCACCTGCCAGGAAAGAGCCGCCCAGCGTCGCTCGCTTCTCCGAAACCGCTGCGCCCGCCTGTTGCTCTGCGCCCAAGCGGCTACCCGTTGCGCAAGGGAGAGGCGGCCGCTGGAGACAAATAAAAGCCGCTCCTTTCAGCTGCCGCCTCCGGTCAGGGAGGAGCCACGGGGGAGAAAGGGGGCAATCGGAGGTTAGGCTCGGAGCACGCAAGCCGAGGGTTCCTGAGCGCGTGCAGAGCGTAGCTCCCTTTCAGGCCAAATTTTGCAAAGGCGGCGGGCTCGGCTGCAATGGCACCGCGCATCGCCGCCTGGCTTTAAACCTTGGGGAGGGGGGCCCGGCGGAGGTCTTGGCGAGGGGGAAGGGGGGTAGGAAATCAGCTGTTCGAATCCCCGACACCTTTGTTTCTTACCTGTCCGAGTCGGGGCTGCGCTGCCTTGCAAAGCCGGCAGGGCCGCGAGGTCAGGCGGCTTACCTTGTTAAATCCCCAAAGGTGCTTTTTTTTTTTTTCCAAGAGGCAACTGGACTTCCTGGCTTTTTTTTTCCCTTTGAAGAGGTTTCGCTTCTCATCCAAGAAGCTTCTTCATCTCTTGGATGAGAAGCCAAACCTCTTCAATGCAAAAACCCAGAAAGTCCAGTTGCCTCTTGGAAAAAGCACCTTTGGGACAACCTGGATGACTGAGAAGCTCCATGGACATACCTTGTTAAGTGCTTTCCTCTTGCCAGAGTTTTCTCACCAAGGGCTATGCTGCAATCCAGGACTGCGGCTGACACTCTGGAGCACTTGAGTTCTTAGGATTGGCTGGGGATGGGAAGGAATTGTAGTCCACCCAGAGGGGCTTTAGGAACATCTGTCCTGGGTAGGTTCTTCTTCCCCCAATTCAAAGCCCTCCAGATGTGCTGGCCATCATCGACAGCCCTGGTCTGAGGGGTCTTTAGTGCTCTCTGAGCTCAATTGATGTTTCATTACCCAGACGAGGAATATCATCAGTGCTTTATTGGTACAGGTCTGTTGGAATACAACTTGTCTCTGACAATGGCAGCCCAGGTTTAGAATTTAAATTATTTAGGAGAGGGCTTGGCTCTGTGAAAGGCGACCAATCGAGTTAAATAGGTAGGGGGCCCTACTCCGCTTAATTTGACAGAAGGAACTACTAGGGGGTCCTCCTTAGGGTCAAGAGGTCAATAAAACAGTCAATACTGCAGTTAAACCTCTGCCTTTTTTGAAGGGTGAGGTGCCAAAAAATTGAACAGTGTTTGAATCACTTCCTTGTGGCTGCCTTAAAGAGTGCAGTACTGCAGGTTACTTCTGCTGACTGCAATTTGGCAGTTCGATTCCCACCAGGCTCAAGGTTGACTCAGCCTTCCGTCCTTCCGAGGTGGGTAAAATGAGGACCCAAATTGTTGGGAGGCAACAATCTCTAAACCGCTTAGAGAGGGCTGTAAAGCACCGTGAAGCAGTATATAAGTCTAAGTGCTATGGCTATTGCAAGGGAGAGATCTAAGATCTTGGATTTATTGAGAAATTCTGGCTGATTGCTGGGACAAAAAGGATATTGGTCTAATCTCACCTATCTTGGATGCATAGCCTGCCTTTCCTCCCGGACATAGTTCTCAACTTTGGCAGCTGTTATGTGGACTTCAACTCCCAGAATTCCCTAGGCTGTCATGCTCCATGTATACACAAGGCTGTTTTCTGCACAATCACCATTCTTTCTTTGTGCTGAAAAAGGGTGACCTAAAGTCACCCTAGGACCTTTCATGGTGGAAGGTGGACTTCAACCTGGGCTTCCTTTGTGCTGATCCAACGTCTTCCCAACTAAGGCGCTATAGAAAACATTACCCTGATGAAAACGATGTCACTCCACAACTCAACTTTGATTCCTGACAAGCTGCCTCAGAAATCCTTCAGGTTTACTGAACGTTCTTGCTGCCTTTTTCTCCTTACAGTATCTGCACTCAGCATCAAACTAGTTGCTATTTTTAGGTCTGACTCCAAAAACAGGTTTGTTGATTCCGGAGACACAGAGATAAGTTTGAGGAAAAACTCCTGAAGCTCATGGAAAGTAACTGTGAGTGCATGTTACAGACTGATAATATATCACTCTTTGAGCAGTGAGTAATATATCACTCATAAGCAGAAAAGATATTTAAACATCTTCATTGTGGCATTTGATAACGAGGAAAAGTAGGATGCAATATAATTAATACACAGAACTGAAACAGATCTGGCTTTTATACTTAGAGCTACTTGACACTACAGTTGTTCCAAGTGTTCACACAATGACTTGGCAACATTTTTAGAATGGCTTTACCAGCATCTTCTCAAATAGACCTTCTACCTCCAATTCAGTGACTAGTCTGAAGGCATCCAGCTACCTTTTGTGCCCAGATGTGGCCTCCTTGTTCCTTTAACTATCTTTGTCAAACAGCCTACCATTCTAAAGGTGATTCAGATTTTCAACATGGTTGTGTGGAGTCCACCATTAAAATTGTGACAAAGCAGGTGTGGACACATAACTGAAAACATTAGGGAAGTTGAACTGTGCTTTTTAACCCCAGGATCCCAACTGTGTAGGATGACATAAAACTCATATTGGCTTTTGCTGTATTATCCTTTGATGGTTTTCTTCTATTTTAATCAAACCACATCGTCTAATTTCATTTATAATTGATTATAAATAAGATTTTAATGCTAGGTTTATTTCAAGGTGTCTCCATACCTGTGTTTTTCAACTATAGCAACCTTAAGATGTATGGAAGTTAAAGTCCATACATCACAAAATTGCTGAGGTTGAAATATCCATCCATGTTCACACACCTCAGTTCTTTTGCTGGTTGAGAATGATACAATCACACCATTTTTTCCCCACAGTCAAGCAGACCTTTTTTAAAATCACACATTTTGTTCCCTGACTATTACAGTTTATGGTCTCCCAAATTACTGTAATTAAAACGGCCTGGACTTTTTAAAAAGAGAGAAATATTTGTGGTGATTGACCTAGAAGCAACAACCGCTTGAGAGCACAAGAGGGAGCCTGCCGTCTGCCACCAGCATTCAACTGGGCAGTCCGGGTTGGCACTGTTCTCTTCTCATGGTGCTACCTGTGTGTTTGTACTGAGGCTGCATATCCAGAATTCTAATCCTGCTTGTTACCAAATGTCTCCTTCAAAGCTGAATCAATCTGATGGGCGCAAGCTACACAAACTTTCCCGGCATTTCCCAAGTATGTGTTCATTTCCTGAAATTAGGTGTTGGGCAAGACATGCCTGTATGTTGCACCAATATTTTTGAATGGATGTTTCTTCTGTTGTCCCTTCACCCAGCAAGATCCTGTTAGGTCCTGGCTAAGCTATTCCACCAGCTTGTCTTTGGAGAATTTGAACTCAGAGAGTTGCCACAAGGATTCCTGCCCATGCTTCCTGCAGTTGCAAAAGTCCCTGCCTCAGCAAAGGGATATGGACAGATGGGTGATAACTAACCTGAAGTGTGATGTAGAGTACATTTAATGAGGTAGAGTTAGCCGTTAAGGAACATACCTGGGTTTGGGACACATGCACATCAACGGAGGCCTCGTAAGATGTTGGCATTAACACCATAGAGCAGGGGCTTCCAGCCTTGGCAACTTTAAGACCTGTGGACTTCAACTCCCAGAATTCCCCAGCCAGCCATGCTCTCTGAAGTCCACAGGTCTTAAAGTTGCCAGGGTTAGACACCCTACCATAGAGTATCCTATATCTTTAAAAAAAAAATCTGACCCAGCAATATTAGTGAAGCATTAATCAAAAAGTGGTTACGAGTAGCTAATGTGGTACACTTTCCGTTCCTAGCTCCTTGCCAACAGCAAGGTAGAAATATGAAGACTTCACTAATACTTCCTTGGCAAAATAGAACAGGAGAGTGCGAGGGGATCATCGTATCCCCAGAAAGTCCAAAGGTTAATATAATTAGCGCAACAAGCCGAAACATGTTGGGCTTTCATGTCCTTTTTGCTGGTTTGGCAGTCAATTGTTTTTCTCTTTCCAGTTCCTTCTCCCGTTGCTGTTCTCGCTCTAGTTCTTCCTTCTGTCGTTTTTGCTGGAGTTTGAGTGCTCTCCTCTGAAAGAAGGAAGCATCAGAAAGCCAAAAGATTATATTTGAGGAAATCACAGCCTCGTTATTCTGCTATTATTTTTCGATGGTCTCCTAGCTTTTATTTCCTCTTCATGTACTATTACAAAGGATCCTGGAAAAAGCTTAGTTTTATTCTATAACAGTGCATCTGTTTGAGAGTTATAACCAGTCCTTCCAAACAGGTCAGTTTAGCCTTTTTTCCTGATCTTTAAAACACATGTTCATTTTCTAATGGATACTCTGTACAGTTGAAAAGATTCAAATCCCTTTACAAAGCCTTAAAGGAAACATTGATCCAGATCTCTCTCTTATATTTTGCATTTATGCCCACTTCTCAGTCCTCTGAAGTCTGCTAAATTCATTGTTATGAGGAGGAGAGCTGATTTCATTGAGAGAAAAATTCTATACAATCTCTACGAGCTGCGATTCTAAATTCTAAACAATGAGGTTTTTAAAATTACAGATGAATCCTAATGCCTACAAAATTTCTGTGACGTGGTTTGCTAAGTCAACTGACAGTCCACTATTTCATTTTCCTCTTTTTGCTGGAATGGTTAGCATGCAGTATTATAGCAGGCTAACCCTGCCGACTGCCAAGAGTTCAACTCCTCCAATCCTGACTGGCTTGTTGGAGGCAATATACTGACTTTGTAAGCTGCTTAGCACATGAGTGTCAAACTCGCCACGTCACATTGCCGTCATGTGACGTTTTGCAACGTTTTCCCCATTCGCAGGGCTGGGATGGGCATGGCCTGCAGGCATCCGGCCCACAGCCAGCCAGTTTGACACCCCTGGCTTAGAGAATGCTGTAAACCGCTGTGAAGCAGTATAAAAAAAGTCTTTAAAAAAAGTCTAAGAATTTATAAGAGAAAGTTATTTTCTCCAATACCATCTATAAGCAAATATAAAACCCAGTCCAAACTTATGAATATTTCCTGAGAAATAATTTCACACTATATTAGTGGATGTAACAATACACAGGATTACAGCTTTATTCATGAGCCTCGGTGGCACAGGGATTAGAGTGCAGTACTGCAGGCTACTTCTGCTGACTGCCAGCTGCCTGCAATTTGGCAGTTCAAATCTCACCAGGCTCAAGGTTGACTCAGCTTTCCATCCTTCCGAGGTGGATAAAATGAGGCCCACGTTGTTGGGGGCAAGAGGCTGATTCTGCAAACCACTTAGAATGGGCTGTAAAGCACTGTAAAGCGGTATGTAAGTCTTAAGTGCTATTGCTATTGCTATAGGTCTTATATGCAATTAATGCTGAATTATTTTACAGAGAAATTCTGCTTTACGGCAGAGAAGTGCCCTTATTTTTATAATATTGAAGGCATGCACTCTCTGGTAGTAAATTCAATTAAACTTGGTATTAAAAGTTGAGATTTGAATTTGAATGAATGGCAACATTTCAAATACCGAACATTTGTGAAAATGCTAATTTAGAATGGGATTAATAAGAAAACAGGACTTTTGTTTGGATCTGCAAGACCTGGATGAGTTAAAATGTATATCAGCAATGTAAATTTTGCCCACATTTTACTAGTCAAGGGAAATAAAACTCACTTTCAACTTTGATGTCTTCTCATGCAGCATCAGCATCTCTTTCCTAATGTTTACCAACTTATTGTGATAGTATTTTGCTTCTGAAAACTTAAAAAGGAGAAAACATTTACTGGCGATAGAAATGTATAGTGTGTCTAAAACAAATCTGACTAACTTTAAAAAACAACTTGTTTCTTGAAGATACCAAAGTATGCGTAAAAAGCTATTCTAGGTATAATCCCTTTAAGGAAGGCCCAAAATGCAGTAAGAAGTTATCTATCTGTAAACTGTTCAGAGTCACTTAGTGAGATCTGCATGAAAAAAAGTACTAGGATTTAAAGACACTATAGCGGGCTAGAGTTCACTAAAAATAAAATACAGACTCCTTTTACAAACTCTGAAAGGCTACAGAAGAGCAGTACGTAACTGTCTTTTATTTTTCAACAATTTACTGAACTGGGCTCCTGCCATCGATGATAATTTCCATCATTAGAAGCAAAGTCTATTATCTTCTGAACCATATGCACTACCAGGGTGATTACACATGCCTAAATCAGTTTGGGATCAAATGGTTTCCGTTTTAGTACACAAAAACACATACAGTACATTCATTGTTGGATGTTTGCAATTAGTACAAGACATCATTGTATGTACAAAACAGTTCATGTATTTCTGCGAAAAAGGGGAAGTTCAACAGCAAGGATCTTCCAATGAAGTCAAATCTAACAAAAACACAACTTACCAGCATATTGATATCAAGAATTGAACTGCATTCTTTAAACTTTGAGATTTCTTGCTGCACAGTTTCTAATAGTACTTCTTGGTTCTGTCTGAAAGAAAAATAGAGCAATTTAAAAGGCATTTTGAAATCAGTGTTACAAAACTAAAGTGCTGATATGAAAAATTCTATTTTAGAAATTCTGAATGCTACCTGCCCTCAAGATTCAGTAGCTTTCCCACCACCCATTTCTAAAAACATCTCCGCTTGATATGATGGATAGGGAAACGCAAACAGTGCTGTATATCCCCGAAATAAATATGGAATTTTTTTAAATAGGAAACTCAGTTAAAAGGAATATTAATTCTAATCCCAGGGCTGGGGTTTGTACCATATATAAAAAGTTAAATGACTATTTTTTAAAAGTTACGTACGTGAGTTCTTTTAAGGCTAATTTTGATCGTTGTAGGTCAGGTAAATAGTGCGAAACCAGCCCTTCTGTTAGTTGCTCCACAGCTTTCTTATCTATGAGAGGAAAGTCATCTACCATGGCCTCATCAGGAGAATTATCAAGATCTGAAACAAAGGGGTTGATAAAAACGGTAATGGAAAAATCTCTGAACCAAGAATTCTCAGAATTATTGCATCATTTTCAGCTATCCTAGTGAGAGCCCGATACTATTAGTGCCTCTTAAAAATGTGATACCTTTAAATGGAAAGCAATTATTAAATAAACAGAAACTTAAGAGAACTCTGTAGTCAGAAACTTTACTTAATTTAAAAAAGTTCCACAGATGTAACTGAAGCTACTAACAAGAATTCAACTAATGCCATTTTTCTTGACCATGGTGATAAAGTGACTAAAAAAATGAAAGAGCTACAACTGCATGCTGCTTAAGGTTTGACTAATTGACAATGTAAATAATTATTTATCCTGCATTATTAGCTTAGAGCTTATTTACAATAAGGACTACATATACTACTGAAACTTCAGTTAAGACACAAGTTGTCCTTGACTTACTTAGAATCACAAGTGGGACCACTATTTCCATTGCTAACCAAAGTGCTTGTTAAGTAAATTATGCCTGATTTTATGTTTTGTTGTTGTTGCCATGCTTTTTCAGTGAATCAATGCAGTTAAATGAACCATTATTAAACATCGGAACAAATGGAAAGGGTACCACATTAGCTACTCGTAACCATTTTCTGAATGCTCCCATGGTCATAAGTGTGAAGATTGGTCCCAAGCCCCTTTTTTCAGCACTTCCATAACTCCTAACAGTCACCAAATAAATGGTTGTAAGTCAAGGACTACCTTTGTTTAGGATTCTGTGTATCTTACTAATTCTCAACAACGTGGACAAATCTAGGAGAAAGAAGTTCAATGCTTCATTTCATTTTTTAGGTGATTTATTGCCCAAAGGAATTTCCTACTGTTGTGGAGATGCTGTAATTAAATTAAGAACAGAAGCAATAGGAGAGAGACGCAATAAAGTGCGTTTACTTAACAGACACAAACCACTGTGCACTGATCGCTGGGTTCCTTGCCAAAGGATTGCAGAAGAGCCCGGCCCAAAAGCAAAACTACGGGTTACATAGGCCAAACATACTAAGCATTATGCACGCCCATGTAAAAATATATACAACATGAAAAAATATTTAGATACATGTATATCTTTTTATAAATGTTATATATTTGTGTATGCATATAAAACGGTACATGATGGGCGTGCTATATAAGTGTGTATGTGTGTGAGACAGTATCTTTGTGTCTCTATATACACACACACTCATATATATGGTTTCTGCAGTTTTTTAAACCCGACCACTCCCTCTGTGTGTGTGTGTGTGGTGTGTGCTTATACAGTATATATGCACATATCTTCTATCTATACACAGACACAGACACACACACACACACACACACACACACACAAAATCTTCCTCCTGTACTTTCCTATTTTTTTCACTAATATACCTACATACATAATTTTATATTATTATTTTATATATAATGTAATATAATATATATAAGGTAGGGAAATAAAGGTTTTGTGTGTATACACACACACGCCCATATATAAATAGAGATTTACATACTGTAAACACACATACAGAGAGAGAGAGAGAGAGAGAGAGAGAGAGAGAGAGAGACCTCCTTGGACTTCAAGTCCCATCACCCCCAGCGGGCTTCGGCCTACCTCGCGCTCCAAGTCCACCTACCTAAGGCGGGGTCGTTCAAGGCTCCGGGCGGCCATCCCGCCTCCACCTCCGGCGCCTCTGCCAAGCTCATCGCCCACGCTCGAGGACCGCGGCTGGACTGACCCCGCAAGAAAGCCGCCGCTTAAATCTCCCGGCCTGACCGAGGCGTAGCAAGCCCGGCCGAAGTTCCTACAGGCGGCGGTGTGAGGGAAAGGCCTCGCGAAGCGGCTTCACCGGACCCTTCCGAGTCAACCGGGATCCCCTCCGGGGACGTGGGTGGGTGTAAAGTACAGGAGGGGCAGGCCTCAACTTCGCAGGACAGTAGGCCTTCCGGCGATCCGGAGGAAGGTAGAGATACGAAATTGAAGAGTTTCGACGCCCGACCTACAGAGGGGACTTCCGGGTTCATTGTGCAAATTGTATCTTCCCCCAATAATTTCTAAACGATTTTTAAAAAGTGAGCTGCCCTTTGGAAATCAGGGAGACGAAGGGAATTCGGATTAGAGGAGAGAGGTGCCATCTTTCTTAAAAAGTCGTTCCCTCTGGGGATTATTGTCAGCTATTAAAACCATTTGCCAAACTTTAAAACAATGTTGCTCCTCTTGTTATTTTTCCATTTGTTAAAAATATAGTTTTCCCATGAAAAATATATCTATCTAATAGCTTTAACATTGTTATTTCTAAACATATTTATATTTATATATATATATATATTCATGATAATCTGAAACAAATATTTACCATACATTTACATAATTGTATCAATTAAGTAATTATATAAACTTTATGATTTCTGTGAGATAAGTATCCAAATACACACACACACACACACACACACACACACACATCCCAACAAGCACAATTAGGTCTTAGGTGCTTTTTATTTATTTATTTTTACCCCGAGATTTTTGCTGTTGGTTGCTCTGTCCTTTCCCCCCCTCTTTCTATCTCTATCTCTAAATAGAACCTTAATGCTGGTGTGCCATAGTACCTGGTTGCTAGGCAGAGTGGGTGGGTTGCCATAGCAACACCAGCTGTTCAGAGAAAGTCCTTCCCAGGCCCTTGGGGGATGCACTTGTCAGTTCCAGCCCCTCTGTTAGTATCTGCAGGGCTGCTTATGCCTCCCTGTTAATTCTGGGTGCCCAGGTGGTTTTTCAAAATAATTCTTAGGGCTGAGTTATAATAGTTTATTTGGAATTTGATTTTTTTTTAGAATTGCATGGCAAATAAGAGGTGTCTGTTAGATTATCCTATGCAGTGCACCATCCTTTTAGGTTTTGAAGGATGCTCATATATTGAGGTCAGCTAAAAGGGGTTTGCCTCTTGTTCTAGCAAGAAACAAAATAGAGTTGCCCATTTCCCCTCAGATATATAATTTTATATATATAATTATTAAATTATGCAGCATAGTACAGGAAATTTTTCTTGCTCAGTTTGTGAATATCTAGGGGATATCAATGTTTGAATGAAGTTGTAACTACCTTGCATTATTGGTCTCTGTCTATTTCCCCTTTGAATGGTGAGAAAATCAGAACTATCAAAATATCAAGTTGTGTGTTATAACAATGGAATATTACAACTCCCTGTTTTCTGGTAGTGACTAAATCTTGGCTCAGCTCAAAATCTTTAAAAAAAAAAGTTTGTAGGGGACTTAGACTTCAAACACTTTGAAAATGCTTTGTACGTCACAATTGCGTTTGTGTACTGGGTCAAGGGCAACTATATCCAGGTATGTGATTATTTAACAAGTGGGAGGGAATAAAAATAGGAAAATAAAGTGTATTTATTTATAAGCAGGAGGATTAAAATTCTGACAAAACCAGAAAAACTGCCTGTGCATGATTGTAGATGATTGAGAAGTTTACTTTAGTTACTCGAACAAAGCTTTATCCTTACTAATTTATCATTAAGTGTTGTATGTTATGATTCTTGATTTTTAACGAATGTATCTTTTCCTTTATGTATACTGAGAGTATTTACACCAAGACAAATTCCTTGTGTGTCCAATCACACTTGGCCAATAAAGTATTCTATTCTAAAAAAAAATAAAATTAATACAGGGCCCACAAGCTTAAATAGAGCTGCTTAAAATAATGGAAGGCTTTCAAAGTTTCTACATCCAGCTTTGTCCTCCAAGAACAACTGTCCCAGATACAGATATCTCTGGTTTACATAGGCTGATAAATACAAGATGCAAAACCGTACTGTGGTTTGCTTATGACTTAGCTTACAGTGCAAAACCCAACAATTGTGGTTGGCCAATCTCGGCTTGTGCATCAGTATGTTGGGTGAGCCTAGTTACTTGTGGCTTATTGAATAAAACATAATTAAAAGAGGGCTGTGAAAATATTTACAGAGACCCCTCACATCCTGGACATAAACTGTTTCAACTCCTATCCTCAAAATGACGCTATAAGAGCACTGCACACCAGAATAACTACACACAAGAACAGTTTTTCCCCGAACACCATCACTCTGGTAAACAATTCCCTCAACACTGTCAAACTATTTAGTAATCTGTATTACTATCACTATTAATCTTGTCATCTCTCCTTATCACCCATCTCCTCCCACTTATGACTGTATGACTGTAACTTTGTCACTTGTATCCTTATGATTTATATTGACTGTTTCGTAGTATGATTTCATTGCTGATTGTACCCTATGACTATTATTAAGTGTTGCACCTGATAATTCTTAACTTTCTTAAAACTTAATTCTTAACATTCTTAAAAATAAATGTATCTTTTCTTTTATGGACACTGAGAGCATTTGCACCAAGACAAATTTCTTGTGTGTCCAATCACACTTGGCCAATAAAGAATTCTATTCTATTCTATTAAGCAAGTCATGGCTTGCAGTTTTATATAAACAAAGCCATAGTTAGAATGGGGGTACTTCTTTGCCAGTTTGGGGCAGGGGTGTCAAACTCCTGGCTCGCGGCCTGGATGCATCATGTGCTGGCCACGCCCACACCTGGTTTAGCAAAGGGGAAAAAAGTCCCAACGTGTCAAGTGATGCTGCCATGACAATGTGAGTTTGATACCCTTGGTCTGGGGTAAGAGAAACTGCAGTGGTGAAAAACGCCTCTGTTTGCAAAGGTGCTTTTGTGTGTGGGGGGGGGGGGGGGAGCCATAATGACATCATACACAAATGACACAAATTATTACTGGCATATAATTTGCATTCAGATAGTTTTTGACTGACAACTACAATTGGGACCAGAATTTCCATTGCTATTCAAGGCAATTGTTAAATGAATCACACCTGATTTTGCAATCTTTTTGGCAAATCACTGCAGTTGTTAAGTGGATTGTGGAATCATGTGACTTTGCTTATTGGAAGCCAGCAGGTAAGGCAATCACATGACCCCATGACCGTTGTAAAAACAGGTAGTCCTCAACTTACAACTGTTCACTTAGTGGCTGCTTGAACTTACAATGGTATCAACTCCTAAAATATTTCTCTGGTCTTTTTAGAGTTGCCAACAGAAAGGGAGGGAGGAGCAGTGCAGCAGCTTGCAAACCGAAAGTGCATTCCATAAATGTTTTCAAAGATAGTAACTAGGTGACCGAAGTTTCTGCCATGCAAAATTCTAACTGGAGAGCATGATTGATGATTCTGGGCTATGGATGTGTCCCATTGGAGAATATGAATTTCGATACACCCAGGAGGTGGGGGGAAAACCAGGGTCAAGGGTGACAATGAATGATGTGTCTCAGAGTCAGCTACACCCAGGCAACACCGGACCTTTTAACTCCCAATAAATCCTTCTGAAGTTTTGGAAGTTTGGCTTGAGGCTCATGATTTAAATGGGGTAACTGCCAGAATCCTGACAAACGGCACTGAATAAAGTGACGAATGACATTTTTCACACTTACGACTGTTACAGCATCCCCATGGTCACATGATTTACATTCAGATGTGTGGCACCTGGCTCATATTTATGACAGTTTGCAGTGTCCCAGGGGTCATGGGATCCCCTTTTGCGCCCTTCTGACAAGCAAAGTCAATGAGGAGACCCAGATTCACTTAACAACCACATTACTAAATTAACAACTGGGGTAATTCGCTTAACAAATGTGGCAAGAAAAGTCATACCATGGGGCAAAGCTCACTTAAGAAATGTTTCACTTAGCAACATAAATTCTGGGTTCAACTGTGGTCATAAGTTGTAGATGCTACTGGCCAAGTGTATGAATTTTGATCACATAACTGTGGGGATGTGCTCCTATGTGGCCAATAATTTGATTTAAAAAATGGTCATAAATGTGAGGACCAATCATGAGTCATTTTTAAAAAAAATATGCCTCCTAGAATGAGCATTTCCTTGCGTGAGAAAATGAGACAATTGTCCTTCAAAAATGAGACCATCTATAGCAGCCAGTCTCAGCTTATCTGCAAGAAGTTGATCTATAACTTTTAAAATATATATGTCTCCGAATAGATTACAGTGAACTATGGACTATTTCAAAAGGCTAAAATAATAATAATAATAAAGGATCAGAGTGCTCTTGCATTCATTGATACAAGAAACCAGTGAAAGGCAGATTACGGTGTCCATTCAGGCAAAATAAATATCCAGATGAAATAAACTTTACATCAAAAGTGGGAAACTTCAAACAAACGAAGCATTTTCAACGTATTTATAACCGTTGGTGACTTAACACTGCAGTATGGTATGGACTGTATCTACTGGATTAGAAGGCCAATCCTATCTATGCTTATTCTGAAGTACATTCCTATGCACGTAACAGAATTTAAGTAGCCTTATGATTCGGTAGGACTTAAAGGAAGCTTATGAGTTTGTATACTTCTAAGCTTAATAACTCAGCTGGATAACTTGAATGTAAACATACATTTCGACTGAAAATGGACTCGGGATTGCAGTCTTCCCTAGAAAGGATCAAGGTTAAAAGAAAGACAGTAGTGGGTTTTAGAATATAGGGGTTAGACTGTGTTCATACAAGCTGTGGTTTCTTCTAACAGGGATTTATGGAATAAGCCACATTGCTTCTCACACTTTTCTCCTGACACCTTTTCTTTCCAGACAGAAGCTTGGATCAGGCTCTAAAGATCTCCCTGGCAAGATGAAAGGAGAAATGCCAATGGCAGGTTGAAGATGCCAATCATTGCTCAAAGGAACCGGGAGCACACACGGCAAACAGGTTTTTGCAGTTTGGGTTAATATTGCCTATTGTTAGGAAAGCTGAGCTATTTAAAAGGCAGGAAAGGCAAGGCAAGGGGGATTTCTCTCTTCCCATAACTGTGAGTAGCTGCAGTCAATAGGAAGCTCTTGATGTAGGGAGCAGGTAGCCAAGGCATTTGAAGCCAGTCACTGAAAAACCCAGACTCTCTGGGCCGGGTGGGAGTGGAAATGATGAAATGTATTTGAATATAAGTAGCTCGGGGTGGGCTGACTTTGGCAGTTTGGTTGCAATCAACAGCCCA